CGGAAGACGTCGAGGAAAATAAGAAAACCATCGGAAGGCGTCAGTCCAAAAACGATGCCCAAAGTCCGAGGAAAATAAGAAAACCATCGATGACGGTCCAGGTAAGAGAAAAAGAGGCTAGGAGGACGGGATAGCGGCAGTAGGCCACAAAAAAGAAGAATAAAAACCCTCAGCAGTGTTGAAATAGAGCCACCGAGCAAAAAAACTAACAAACGGACGGACAGCCTCAAGACAAAAGTCACACTCCAAGACCTCACTCACCTCAAGAGAGTGGGTTCGAACCCCACAGAGTTAGAATGAACGGTCGAGGTTAGTAAAGGAAGCCGTCTAGCAAGCGAGAGCAGGAGCCAAGAAGAAAATGGGAACCAGAAGGGTCAGCGCAAGCCAAGGAGAGTGTTAAAGGTGGAAAGGAAATAGGAACCAGAGGGGTCAGGAAAGCCAGACGAGTCGCAGAAAATGAGGAAGATCAGCGATGCCCAGCAAGCCAAAGGTGGAAAGGAAATAGGAAACCAGAGTCACAGAAAATGAGGAGACCAGCTGTAGGCGCTCCATCAGTCCAAGGAGATCAGCGATGCCCAGCAGAAAATGAGGAAAATAAGAAAACCATCGGAAAAAAGACCAGAGGGGGGACAGCGGCAGACAACGTCAAGGAAAATATATAAAAAAAATAAGAAACTCACCTCAAGACCCAAGTCACACACAAAACGTCGGACGGACAGCCTCAAGTCACACACAAAAAAAACGTCAATGAAAAGACAGATCGATCAGACAGGGCCGAGATCGATCGGATCGAAAGGAAAAAACAGCAGGGGGGCCGCCCAGTTAGGGAAGAAGAAGAGAAAGTAGCCCGCCGAGCAAATTTTCAGCACAAGGAAGAAGAAAGAAAAACAATATGAGCACGGTCCGGTCCATCAGTGAAAGCCGGCCACAATAAAAAAAAATATGTAAAAAGGCTGAGAATGAGCCAGACCAGCCGCACAAAACGTCACAAATTGGCAAGATCAGAAAATAAAAAAGAAATGAATAAAAAAAGCAAGCGACAGTAGTCAAGTCAGTACAAAATAAATAAATAGAAAAAGCAAGCGACCACAATAAAAGAAAAGCTGGGATTGAAAACGCAATAATATATATAGATAGCTGAGAATGAGCCAAAAAGCTGGGAGTGAGAATAAAACTAAAATCGCCAGACCAGCCGCACGAAACGTCAAATTGGCAAGATCAGAAAATAAAAAATAAATGAATAAAAAAAGCAAGCGACAGTAATCAAGTAGTACAAAAGAAATAAATAGAAAACCACAATAAAAAAAGCTGGGATTAAAATAGATAAGCTGAGAATGAGCCAAAAAGCTGGGAGTGAGAATAAAAATAAAACCGCCTAGGCCCTCAGTGGGGAAGGAAATAAATGAAAAAAGCAAACTAAAATGGAGATTGATGAGAGAAGAAAATGGGAAAATTGAATAAAAGAGGCAGCAAACCGTAAGAAGTGTGTGGGAGTGACGAATAAATGAGTCAAATGAGCACGATCATCAATCCAGTCAGGCCAGCCACACAAAACGTCGAATGGGCACGATCAGAAAATAAGTAAGTTCAATCAGTCAAAAGAAATAAATAGAAGAATCAAGCGACCACAATAAAAAAACGCAATTTAAAAAGGAGATTGATAGAGAAATAAATAGAAAAAGCAAGCGAAAAAAAGCTGGAGTGAAAACGTGAGAAAAATAAATACGATAGGGAAAAGGCTAGGCCTCAGTGGGGAAGGAACACAATAAAAAAACGCAATTTAAAAAGGAGATTGATATAATTATAGTCAGTACAAAATAAAAAAATAAAGGGGATGGAGTGAAAATGGAAATCAGCGAGACCCCAAGTGAAATGGAAATTATTGAGGCCCCCCAAAAAAATTGAACGGAAAATGTGAGAAAAGTTATAGATAGAGTCTGGCTGAAGAGTGTATGTGGGAAGTTTAAAATGTTAATTGAAAGCAGTCACGGAAAAAATAAAAAATTTCAAGGAAGCAAGTTGTGAGTAAATATACCAAGCTTTAGTAGTAGCAACGGGGAATGGAATAAATGAAAATAAGCAGCTAAATAAAGATGAGAAAAGTTACCGAGCAGTCTAGGGGGAAATAAATAAAAAAGCAGCAATCCACAAGCAGTGTCACAATAAAATTACAAGCTGGAAAAAAATAAAAGGCTGGAATGGAAATCAGCGAGGCCCAAGGAAAATTAATATGGAAAATGGGAAGAAAGTTATCGTTTTGGTAGGTAGCGGGGTTTAAAGCAGAGAGACAAGTTAAATTAAAAATATAAATCAGCAAAAGCAGTCTTGAAAAAAAAATATTCAAGCAAGCAAGTTGTGAAATGAAGCAGCGAGTAATATACCAAACTGCTAGCAGTCCAGTAGGGAGAAAATAGTCAAATAAAAAACATCTAATTAGGGATGATAAAAAGAATAAATTAGGATGGAAAATGTGAAAAGGCTGGGAGTGAAAGTGGATGGTAGTGGGAGCTCAGTGGGGAAAGAAATATATGAAAAAAGCAGTTGAATAAAGATGAGAAAAGTTACCAACAAGTCCAGGGGAAATGAATAAAAAAACAGCAATCCGCAAGCAGTGCCACAATGAAATAAATAAATAATGTAGTGAAAATAGAAATCAGGGCCCCAAGAAAGAAATTGGGATGGAAATTGGCGAGGCCCAGGAAAATTAAGATGGAAAATGTAATAAAAAAAATGATCGAGGCTGGCTGGAGCAGCTAAGAAATGGTAAGTTTTGAAAGTAGCGAGGGAAGTTAAAAATATTAATTGGAATCAGCAAAAGCAGTCACGGAAAAAAAATGTATCAGCAAGCAATTTGTGAAGTGAAGCGGCGCGTAATATATATATCAAACTGCAAGCGGTCCAGTGAGAAATAAAAAAAGAAGCGACCAATCCGCAAGCAGTCAAATAAATAAAGTCAGTGCGTGAAAATAGAAATCAGCCAGGCCTAATGGAATTTAGTAGTAGGAGGTTTGAAGCAGCGAGAAAACGGAAATTAAATATAAATGAGCGAAGCCAAATGCGGTCAAGGAAAAAATAAAAGACATTCGAGCAAGTTGCGAAGTGAAATCAGCAGCGAGACGAGAAAAATTGAAATGAGAAAAAAACAGCGAAGCCCATGTCAGTCAGGGGAACTAAATAGATAATAAAGGTCAGCGAGGAGGCCCAAAGGAAAATTAAGATGGAATGAAATAAAATAGCAAAACCAACCAGGCTGGCTGCAGCCACAAAAGTTAGTAGTGGAAACAGGAAACCAGCGAGGTTTAGAACAATCAGCCCGCAAGCAGTTTAGAAAAATAAAGATTAAAGCCAACGCCATAACTATGACACTTGGAAATAGAAATCAGCGAGGCTGACTGTGGCAGCAAGGAACTGTTTACCCACAAAATCATGCAAAATTATATTACGTGGTATATATATTATTGTGGTACGTGTACACTCACCTAAAAGAATTAAATTAATTCACGCACGCAACCACATGGATATCATAAGGTAAGTGTTCTCCATTTCGAAAAGTGCTGGCGAGTTTTGGATTTCGTGGGCATAAGCATATCCTCCTTTGGTAAACAGAGTCATGACTGTTATGGTACCTCTTGCGAATTCGCACCTATGTGAGTCAGCATTTTCACCCTTGCTTACTATCAAAATCGAAACCGTTTGGATGTCAAGAATGACATTTTTTATTTAGGCCTGCCAATGGCTACATATGTTCCGTAGTAAAAAGCAACTGCAAACGAAAGACGTTGTTCCCGGATCTTGAGTGCCATAAACTTTTTTGATGGTTGTTTGTTTGGAAGTTGTTAGAAACTACGTCTCTATTCGCAAACCTGCCATATTTCGAGATTACATCCTTAAAAAACATACGTAGATTACGTATCACTTGTATATGTTATAAAATCTTCTAATAAAAGCGATGGCAGACATCCAAATACGTTAAAAGTTATTGATCACTTATAACAATGTTTCCGACACCCGAAATCTGATACCTATATTCAATTATGGGTAGGCTACATTCACGATGTGATAATAAAACATATATCCATTCTGGTATATATATGAACAAAAAATATGTGTTGGTGCAATGTAATTCAGATTTCGGTTCGTGTAGAAATGAAATATGCTCCACTTCGAAGAAATATCCGCTTATGCCCGATGGAAACGTCTCCTATCGAATTATTATAACACGAAATATAAGGCGGATCAACCCAAGAGTTGAAAAATTTCATCAATAACTTTCCAAATCACGTTAAATGTTCTTCCTAAAAGAAATCAAGAACAATTTTGCTAAAAGCTGCAGAATTTTGCTCGGAGAAAAGGTATTCGCCAACTCCAAGCAACAGAACTTTTGAACAAGTGATTTCGAATCTTTCTAGAACTGCTAAAGTGCAAGCGGATGTACAACCAGAACGCAAACTTTACTTTCCAACGGGAAATTATCGATCAAACAGATATAATAAAAAGCAGCCAAAATAAGCCCAATATAATATTGACAGAAGTCCAGTAAAAAAGAGGTGGTGCAATCCTGAAAAGGGATCACGTGGACGGAGGTGTTCGTAGTCACCGAAGAATAGCGAAACATACTTCTGTGGAAAATACAAAAGTAGCAACCATTGCTCGCGTACTCTTGTTTATGACCTAATTATGATAACATAAACAAATCAAAACAGTAAAAATAGGAAAATCCAGTCACGTTCAAATACATACGAATATTATAACTTAAAAAGGCACAAGAAAGTACGTCCAACCTAGAAAGGCATAATTTATGGCACAGGGCACGGAATCATGCAAGACGTCAAGAAGTAGTTATCGTCATCAGGCGGAAACACGCATGTAAGTATAACTTTATCCATACGGCATGTGACTAGACAGTCTTATTATGTAAATCTTGTGCCTACTTCGTTCTTGCTGTAAACTTGCTTCGCGACAAAGAGTTTTAGGTGGCCTGATATTCACTTGTACTTGTATAGACAATGCAGCTAATATATTTTAATAAAATTTCATTTCAAAATTGTTTTTCCTCATAGCCTAATTATCTTTATTTTGGCAAATTTGTTAGTTTTAGTTTTTCTTTGATTCTTATCGACGATCGGGCTGAACTAGAGAATCCTAGTAGTAACGGTACCACAGAGAAGGGGCATGAATTTGGCCGAAATAATACTGTTCATTTTGGCAATTGTTATCGGAAAAACTGTGGCAACAAATGCTAGTTCAGTCGAAACAATTTCAACGCAAGTTTCCAATAATTTCCCTCAAGCGGAGTCAAAGTTCAGGCGCTGGTTTTGTTACAATTCGCCAGTACCTAGTGATAAATATTTGCGAAAATGTTGCGAAAATGAATTATACCGTTACAAAGATAATTGGTTTGCTGGTGGATATTACTTAACTACTATCCTAGATCGATTGCAGAGGTGGAATTGCTCTGAATTTCGAGAGGAGTGCACTGAGCCTACTTGGCCGTTCACCGACTTCACGTGGCTTGTGTACGATCGATTTTGCAATCGCAAAAATATGGAAGCTCGATGTCTATCCAAAGTGAAGAAGATGGTTCAAGATTATGGTTTCATAAAATCGCATAAGAAAAATATCACAGAAAACGAATGGGCAACATTGGTGGAGTCGCTTGTATCTAAGAAGATGAAATTGGACGACTTGGCAAAGCCATGTATTCAAATAGCATTATTCGATAGAAAAGATGGTGGTGTTGGACGATTTCATGAAGTAGTTGAAGTCTACGTCCCATTTTGTGGTCTTCATTGGGATGGATACGACTATCATACTGCGATGAATCGAAATGTTTCACCTTGGACAAGCATGTCATCGTGGTGAGACGACTTTGATATGATATAGTTTTTCGAGTTTAGATTCACTCCTCTGTAAAAATATTACTCATGTTCGCATTCTAAGTTAACTCTATTTTATAATTCACGGACTTTCAGAGTTTTTACTGTCGTGGTTTGTACAATTTTGCGGACACGATGAATTAGGAATTAAAGTGTATTTCTATATGCTGAAATCCCGGTATGGAGAGTCATACAAATGGTCGACTCAATCCGACAAGCTCCCGTGCTTAAGTGTTGTTTTTATTGGGTATCGAGCCGCAACATCATTTGAATTGAAACATTAGAAATCACCCCCAAAATGTAATAAAATAAGTATCAAAATTATTTTACAGGTGCAGGGGAAGTGTGATTGTTGTGATGGCCGTAATTTGTGTTCTGGGAGTCGCTACAATAATAGCAAATACCACTATTCTATCTGTATTTGGACTAACTCCGTCATTGCGTAACAGTCAAACAGTTTACAAGATATCTTTGGCTATTGCTGACCTTTCTGTAGGGTTATTAGTTTGGCCAAATATGCTTGTATTGCAGTACTTGACGTTTATTCAACCAAGAACTATGGGAGATGAAGTCACACATCCTTCTACAGTGAGCAACGACACGTGGCTGGCGCATTTCCCATTTGGAAACGAGAGTTTGGTTCACCGATACCCAGGAGGAGTCAAAGCAAAAACAATTCCTCGGCCTTATATTACTTTTGTTGGTGTTTGTATGTCGCTGTCGCTAACTGTTTCAATTTACACACTGATGATAGCAAGCTTCGATCGATTTTATGCTATATTCAAACCTTTGAAATACAACAAACATTCTGCTCAAAGATATGCAACATATACCTGCGTTGCTCTGTGGTGCTTGTCAATTTTCTTTGCTTTGCTGCCTACTTTTGTGAGAATAATTCAATATGATTTGATATCATCTACATTTATTTTTCCAAATGGAATAACCGCTCTTGGATTGCTGTTCGTTGCACTATTTTTGCCCTTAATCATCACATGGGTGGTCTCGTATGCAACATTTGGAATGTCAAAAAAACATGCAAGAAATCGCCAAAAAATGTTTTCAAGTGGAAGCAGCAGTACATATGCTATTGAACAACGCGTTGCCAGAACTTTGGGTATAATGGTCGGCGTGTTTACAGTCTGCATTCTCCCCTCTGTGACAACAATAGTTGCCGGGTTTTTTCTTCCTCAGACTGTATGGGGTGATCCAAATAACATTGATGTCTACACATCAAATGTTTACGTTTCATCCGAGTACGTTGCTGTAATACTTCTAACTTCAAATAGTTTATGGAATTTCTTTATATACAATATGAGAACTTCGGGGTTTAAAGAAGCTACCAGAAAATTATATACTGATGCACTACAAAAGAGTCGACTGAGTTATGTTGGCCGAAAAACCATGATATTTTTTCGCGGTGCCAGGGGTATAACCATTTCGTCAATGTATACCCTAAAAACCTTGAGTGGAGCAAGCGAAACAGATTTACGAAAACCATCGGCACCAACCAACAAAACAAAACTGGACGACAAAACAGAAGATTTCACAAATAAAATTACAGAAACAAAGAATTTTACATGTGCAACAGTTGATTATCCAGGTTCCTACCTTAAAAGCGGAACGGAATCGAATAAACAATCAATAGTAACAGAACTAAGAGTTGATGAATTAAAGAAAATATCTGGACAAGATAACAAAGGATTTGTTAATGGAGATTCTATTTTCGACTCATTCACGGTGGACTTTGGGACAGACAGATTTTTGCATTCAGTCATGGAAAACATAAATGAAGATGTGGAAGAGGATAGTATTCAAATTAAAAAACTGTAATACAAAAACTATTCAAATAAGTCTGACTCTAACATGTTATTTCATATTTGTCAACTACAATTCGCCGTTTTGAAGTTTATTTCATATTGAATTGAACAGCTCAAGGTTGTTTAAATGATGCAGCAAACATGGAAAAACGACAACCAATTAGTGTGAAATGAAATCTAAAAATCAGGAAATGTAGAATAATGTTTTTTTTGGATAATGTGATTTGTATTTATGGATATTCTTATAAAGCAGTTTCGTTACAGTTTATCCAAAATCACAATCAGCATCATCTTTCGATATTTTCCTTCGTTCAGCCCATGCAGCAAATGAAGCTGCGCCTACTCAGGAGTTTTGATATATCAAATTTTTGATCGTACATAATTGACCTCGTATTGATGGATCTATTTTCATTATATGGATGTTGTAATACTTTATCCATTATAAATACAATTACAATTATAGAAAGTAAATAGAAAATTCAAGTTTTAGGAAATCGTAAACTTGGTTCTCAAAATGACTTGAAGCCAAGGCAGACCAAAGATGTGTTTTTATGATTCATTTTTATCATTGTTAATTATATAAATGTATATATAGTATGATTTCTTTGCAAGTTTACAATGTTTTCTTAAATAACATGAAACTTTAACATCAAATTTCTGAAATCGAATCCGACATAATTCTTTTTAAACATGTTCAGAGTCTCAAAATAATTGTCAACAAAGAGATTAATTTCATTGAGATATTGTACTTCAAAGACCAATAGCATGCAATGACCCTATTGAGAAGAGGCCATTCATACAGAGATCAGAAACTATGATGACCACTTGTCCAACTACTGTTTACTGTTTCCTATACTAGGTCGTGAGATGACTATCGACTGTATTTAAATATTTCTTCCATGATTGTGATGAAAGTGCTTTTCCTGTAATACTTATTACAAGTAAAATCGTGTTTATCACGTCAATGAGCGATCACACAAGTCACGTATAAGCTTAAAATAATTTGAAGACCTCTTCGCCCATTGCAATTTACATAATACCGGACAGAGTGATGTTTTTTGAAGCATATTGTCGTTCTGTATAGTATGACAAAATGTACAATTATTGAACTCAAATCTTCATGAAATGGCGTACATGCTACTTCTGTGTGCCTGTGTCAAAGTTTGGATTGTTGTACTGTTGGTTGTAAGATCATAAGAGCCAAGACTCTATATTGGTTATTCATTGAAATTGTGAACTCGACACGTTTAAACAGCAACGAAAATGTCATTTATTTTCCAGAACCTACCACAAAGTGGGAAAGCTCCGCTTGTTTGGTATGATACACGTTATTTCATCACTGGAGCCATCAGCGAGTTTTTGAAATCGTGGGTTCACTTGAGCAAAATAGACGCTGCCAAGTTTTTGTAATACTTATCGCAACACTTTAATACCTAATTTAAAATAAAAAAAATAAAATTTACTAGAAAATCAAATCGGCAACCTTTAGTTTTTTTGTTGAAATCACAAGCGACCCAAGAAGATTTTAAGGCGTCCCAGTCTTGGGTCGCGACCCATAGTTTGGGAACACTGTATAAGACGAAGTCCAATAAGTCTGCCCGTCAGTCATTTGATTTTCACGCAGTTTGGGGTTTGCAAATGTTGTAAATAGTCTTAGACTGTTTCAAATAACGTTAGACTCATCAACTTGTTGTACACAAAGTGAACCTATAGTTCGTTTCCCTAAATTGTTGGTGTTGTTACTGTTAGTATTCTCGTTGTTGTGCTTTCCTCTTCGACTACTGTACCAATTGCTTTGAAACTTTCAGTGGAAAAGACTGTTGTCTCTAGAAGGCTTTCATTTATTTCAAAAAAGTTACTGTGGGCTCTATGGGATTGGTTTTTCACTTCAAATTTTGTTTGATTGCACCATCAAAATAAAAATATCGGATCGCATTTCAGCAATTTAATGATCAGCGAAGTCAGGAGTTTTTTAATTAAAAAGAAAAATACCTGTATCGGCACTGTAAAAGATTAAATACTATCTCATTTTGGCCTTAGTTTCCAATGTATTTGAGGATTGCTCTCCTGAATGTAACTCATTGAGAGTAAAATATATGTACCCTCGCAGATATAAGCATTGGTTTTATTGAAGATATCACCAATCATATTATTACGCAAAATACTATCACTCATATTAAATGTGTAGTCTCTTTAATTTGAAGAGTTAGTGTCTTGTGGGGAAGTGGGTAACCCCCGGACAAGAGCATTAAACAGTCATGCAAAAATGGAAATTTGTCAAATATGCGGAACGAAAGTAATAAAAATATTATAGATTTCTTAAACCGGATAAAATATATGGCGACACATGCGGGGTCCTGATAACTCAAATGTAGAACAACGTAGAACCTGGCACTATATTTATTCATTAAATGGAAACAAAAATTAATTTTTATCTTATCAAGCAAGAAACTAAATTGCAATCTTTAAAATGCCTTGATTGTTAAGGCCATGACAAATTCTTTTTGGCATATTTTTTACGAAAAGAAAGAAAAATGCGGAAAGGAACCAACCGTTCCACCGCAATGTGAACAAATGAATTAGTCATCTGATTTTCGTGCCCATATAATTGCCATGTTTTTCCTGATTTTTTTTTGCTATCAAACCCCGTGCTTACCGAACAGCGTAATGTCGTTTAGAACAGGCGATTGTCCTGTACTTTATGACAAAAAGTTCAAAGTACCGAACTTGACATTTCGTGGAATAGAGCATGTACCGACTACCTGGTAGGCTGCTACTGTGTGTCTGCATCAAACGTACATGCGTACAGTTATTGTTCACATTGATCCGGCAGATTCTACAAAAATAAAGAATACAAGATCAATGATACATTATATAGACTTAACATTACATGTGGTCCTCAGGACTATAAACGTAGAGGACATGATCTCATATAGCAAGTGTTTTTAGAGACGTTGCACTTTATTCTGTGTTGTATTATAACTACTATGCCAAGCTACAAGCAGATCACTACGTTAAGTCAAAGCATATAATATGCTCGCAGTATATATGCAGTTCTATCTTGCGCTTTTCCATAATCGGCGTGATAGTGATATATATAAAATTGTTTTCCTCATTTTTATAGAGCAAGCATTTGATAACACTTGATAATTTATTTCATTACAATGAAGAAACTTTTACTTATAATTCAATTCAATTCAATTTGGGGAATGGTTTTGTCAACTACATGTGAATTACCGGATATCAACGAAAATATTGATTTTGATAGAATTCCTGGTAAATGGTTTGAGACTGCCCATCCATTCGGGGGATTCTTTGAAGTTACAATGTGTCAAAGTGCTACACACGTACAAACAAGTGACGGATTAGTTGCTGTAGGACATTTTACCCATGCTGATGGTACATCTGGTAAAACTTTGATACTAGATTTTAGTCGTCTTGGGCCTTCAGTTTTCCTAGCAAGAAATGTATATGGCGAACAAGCTGAAAAGAAGTCGCTGATACAGGAGAATGAAGCCGCTGCTCGTGATATTTCATTTGAGGCAGCATCTTTCAGACACTCGCCGATGCTCTTCATTACCGATTATAGGAATTATCTTGTTAGACTTCAGTGTGATTTATCTGGAAATAAAACGGTATCGGTTGCAATTCGGGCCACAAACCCTACTGCAGAGATTATGCTCGATGTTCACAACAAACTAGTGCAGATCGGCCACGATTGGCAAAATGTCAAGATGTTCTATCAAGATTGCCATGGTGCAAAATAAAAGAGTGAAAAGTTTACATATTATGATCTTATGCAGTGTATATTTGGTGTTTGAGATTTTACTTTCGAATTACTTTACCATTGTTCAAATATTATAAGCAGAAGAAGTAAAAGTATATTGGATATCTGAGTAGCCTATATATTGGCAGCTGTTTCTTATTTTCAAGCTCACGTACATTGATTTGAGATGCCAGTACGATCGCTTTCGTTTGTTTTTCTCGGCACGAGTGAGGGTCGTTTGCTGGTGCGAGATTTCTTTCTTTGCTAAAAGCACAATCGAGTGTTGGTTCCGCGCGCCTTTAAAAAGTGTAAGCCTACGAAGCAAGTTTGCCGTTCACATTCTCCACCTTACATTGTATAGTTGAAATATAGAACATTTCGCTGGAATACCAATTTTAAATGTATTATCACCAAAAATGAACCAGTAAGTCTCAAACAATTCAGCAAGCTTGATATAAATATAATAGGATTCGATATTAACCAAACGTTTTTATTTTCGCGCAACATTCAATAGCGTGACATCTTGGAGTTTATCCCAAATATTGTTCGAATCATTTGATCAAAATAATGTATTTCAAATAATGTATTTTATATAGATGTACTTGGATGTTTCATTATTGCAAATATATTAGTGAGTTATATGTCATGTTTCTACGCTTGCGTTTATTTGAATTAAGCAGATAAGGTAGCATTGTTAACGAGGAAACTAATATTACGAGATTCGATGAAAAAGGCATCCAGTATCCAATTGGTTTTAAAACGACGCTCCCTCTTTTACAAATGTTCCCCAATGTATATTGGATCATGACGGGATCGTATTTTTTCATAATTTGGCAGCTTCTGTACACTAAATATTATATATATTTGCAGCACGCGATTAATCGAAAATTATATATATATTGTTGTTCATCGAATGAAATGACTCATTGTTTGTGTTTCACAATATCCCAGAAAGTCGGCTGAGTGGTTTGCAAGATCCGAACAAAACCAGGCCCTCATGAAAATGGTTTTTATTTAGAATTTAGATGGTCTTACGTTGGCAAAGTTTTACCAGACGTGCGTGTTCTCGCACAAATATTAGCTAATATTCTACCATTGACGACATCATTAGTCACTGTAGAATCAACGAAATTACCAATAGTAAGCAGGTACAGTCATATGACTCTAAGCATACATTTACAGTGTATCACACCTAGACTGATAGCCAATATCGACCATACCCGCAAAAGGTTGGGTTATATATCAAACTAGAATTCGATCAGACGTGTTTCATAAATCATTGCATTCTATTCGAAACTAAAGAAGAGAGCGATGCTCAAATGTATGGACACGAAGACCAAACGGAAGTAGTACGGGCATGAAATATGTCACAGAAGACTACCGGTACTGGAGTCTTCACGACTTCGCCTGACCAATAGGCACGCAAAATCAAAACGGAAGACAACCGTCACGCTGTCATAAAAACGTGTTCCCACGAACAAAAATAAAACAGTGGAATTTTAGATAAGGATCAAATCCCATAGGGAATTTAGGAATAAAAATAATAGCCGTCTAGAGACAACAACAATCTTTAACCATGGGAAATTGAAGCAAATGGCCCAGTAGTTAAAGAGTAAAGCGATTTTTTTCACAACAACAACAAGACAAATACGAAATGACAAAACGATCTATAGGTTCATTTCGTGTCAATGAAAAATTAGGAGTTTACTACATCGTAATTGTTGTCAATGACCTTTGGAGCACAGAGAAATAATTTGTGACACAAAGCGCCGATATTACGATTTGCTCTGATTAATCATTCATTGTCTGTGTAAATGGTACAAAACGACACCGTCTAATTGCAAGCAGGAAAAATAACTCTTGTAATGAGGCGGATAAACGCAGTAAGGGTAAATGATTAATTAATTAAAATGAGCATTGCATAACACGGTATTTAAAAATAGTTGAAACAATGAATGTTTGTTATGTCGGAGTATATGTCGAATATTAAGTCATATTTGAGTAAGCATGTTCTGTGTGAACCGTTTACAACAAATGCTTATTATTATAAGGTACATGCCCGATTGACGATACAATTTTTGATTATTACGAATAATTTATACTCCTCGATTAAATTCTGAATTCCGTAAAGTGGTCATACATCAAATAAATATCTAGGTCATAAACCAGCTTGTGCTGTCGAGTCATCGTCAATATGCTGATTAGAAAAGTATTTGACATCAGATGTTTTGTTGAGCTTTAACAACGTTCTCTTTATTAGAAAACTATCTTGATGTGCTCTGCTATCTAGCTCTATTGTTGGACAACTTGATTGAGCATATTTTTCTTCTGTGTAATTTGTTAGAATTGCTTATGAACGATATAAATCTGAATATTATCAAGGTCCGATATGTTGCGTATAGATGTGAAGACAAGACTTGTTCAACTGTTCATTCATAGATATGTTTATGTTTGTTATATATATGATATGTAAACTTTTTTGCGTCAAAGGCACGTTCATGTTTTCATCATTTCTGTCCGTTCTTAGTTGAGAGGGATGGTATTGTCATGGGAAATTATTTTATTAACAAAATTATCTCTGTTTGAATTTTTTTCAATTTCAATTTTACAGAAGCTTGTGATTAAAATCTCAATATGGTATTATCTGCAGGTCAACAAATTTCTTTTAGGTCAACAAATTTCTTTTAGAAAGCTTGTCTGGGCTATATTTTTACACAGAAACTGTAACAATTGTCCAATTCTATATGTCATATTTCAATTACACAATTCTACCCTTGAAATGGGTTATCGGTACTAAAGAGAGTCGCCCGAGTATACATAGTTTGTTTGAAACCATATGGGCTTATCGAATTAGTGTTGAGTCGCTTGAAATATTCTAAAAATTGTGTGCTTTATTTTTATCAGGCGTTTTTCGGCGGTGCTCCGTTTTGCTGTTTTTTTGTTTGTAATTATAATGGGCAAAAAAAATTTTGCGCAATGAAAATGTTTGCAGTCTCGTGGTAGATAAAGTATAAACCATATACAACGGACACAC